GTTGGGTCCCAGGCATTTCTCCAGGGGCTTTGCCTGTATTGCCAGAATTAGCTCAGTTCTCACAATTTTCTCACGAGGTCGAAACTATCACTACCCTCAATTTAAAGGAAAAAATAAGGTGAGTCACCTGAGAAACAAACTGAGGGTTTTGGAGGGAAGGGGAGTGGGAGGTTGGATGAGCCTGGTGGTGGGTATTATGGAGGGCACGTATTGCATGGAGCACTGGGTGTGGTGCATAAACAATGAATTGTGGAACACTGAGAAGAAATTTAAAAAATAAATAAATAAAAATTAAAAAAAAAAAAAAGGTGAGTCACCATGAAGTCAAAGTTACTTGCCCTGGACCACAGACATTAGCCCCAGGATTCAAAACCTGGTTGATCTGACCTCAAATCCAATGCCCTTAACCAATAATGTGTGACTCCGTGTTAGGGCTGAAATGAGTACTGGGACTCAAAGTCCAATGGCCAATGATGGATGTGGTATCTGGGACCAGCATGACCTGAACTCCAGCCCTCTGTCCAAGAGACCCAATTTTGCACACTGTTCCCCTGTACCATCTCTCCTTTCTCAGACTGTGTGGGAACTGTTTCCCTGGCATTCAACATGAAGACAAAGTAACAGAGACAGAAAGATATGTGTGAAAAGAAAGGAAGGTTTCCAGTGGGGCATGTAACACCAGGATGCATCCAGTTCCTCAGAGACTTTTTCTACTTGTGTTGCATTCTCTTCCCAATGATCACCCTCACCTTTCTGGCCCAGACATCCATCCCTTGGCCTTTTTACTCCATATGTCACATACCTATGCCCCCTTCTTTCCCATCCTTGATTTGAGAGACAACCATTTCTACTCTTCTTCTGTCAATATCAGCCACTCCCAGATCCCATTGTCTTTCTGTGTCAAAGAGCCTGTAAAGAAGAATGAAATCATGCCATTTACGACGACATGGATGGAGCTACAGAGTATAATGCTAAGCAAAGTAAGTCAGTCAGAGAAGACTAATACCACATGATTTCACTTATACGTGGAATCTAGAAAACAAAAGAAATAAGGAAAGGTTAAAAAAATGAGAGGGGGAGACATAGAGAGAGTGAAACGAGAGAGAGGAGAGAGAGAGAAACAGACCCTTAACTATAGAGAAAAACCTGATGGTTACCAGAGGGGAGGTGGGGAGGTGGGGGATGGGTGAATTAGGTGATGGGGATTAAGGAGTGCACTTGCCGTGATGAACACTGGGTGATGTATGGAACTGTGGAATTACTATATTGTACACCTGAAACTAATATAACACTGTATGTTAACTATACTGGAATTAAAACTAAAACTTTCAGAAAAGCACAAACTTCCAGTCCTAAGAGAAATAAGTATTAGGAGTATGATGTACAACATGATGACCATAGTTAATACTGCTTCATGGTATATTTGAAAGGTGTTAAGAGAGTAAATCCTAAGATTTCTCATCACAAGGAAAAATCTTTTACGTCTTTTTCACTTGCTTCACTTTTTTTCAAAGATTTTATTTATTTATTTATTTATTTATTTATTAGACGAGAGAGAGAGAGAGAGAGAGAGAGAGAGAGAGAGGAACAGCAAGAGAAGGAACACAAGCAGGGGGAGTGGGAGAGGGAGAAGCAGGCTTCCTGCAGAGCAGGGAGACCGATGTGGGGCTCGATCCCAGGATCCTGGGATCATGACCTGAGCCGAACAAAGGCAGGAGCTTAATGACTGAGTCTCCCGGGTGCCCCCATTTACTTTACTTTTTGCATCTATATGAGATGATGGATGTGTAAGTAATTGTGGTAATTATTTATGTAAGTAGAATCATTATGCTGTGATCCTTAAACATACACAGTGCGAGACGTCAATTATACCTCAACAAAGATGGGCTTAAAAAGGGGGGAAAGAGCCTGTAATCCACAGCCATATAATTATAGGTATATATTTTGGCAGAAAATATTTTGTATGATAAATTTTAAAAAGTGAAATGTCTGGGTCAAAGCATAAGCATGACTTCTGAATGGTTAAACATATTCTAGGAAATTAGACTCTCCTACACTGTTAGTGGAGAAGTATGTTGGTGTAAATATGCTTAGGAAATTGTCTCTTATAATTTAAAATATTTATGTGCTTCTTCTGGGAAGCTATAGAGCACAGACACAAATCTTAGAACTGCCCTAAATCCCAAGCCATGCTCCACTGGGTAATTTGGCCTCCACCATTAGCAATACCTTGTATGGAGAATTCTAATACTTTAAATTTGAGAATCAATCGAAATATTAAAAGGCTAAGATGTAGAAAAAAAATAAAATAAAGGGCGTATTAAAAACAAGAAGCAAAAATTGGGTATATATGGTATATGTTACATGAAAAGAAAATGTACGTTTGTGTCCAGTTTTGTGTGGCAATGCACTTTCCAGCATGATTTGAAATACATGTATCTGTAGTCTAATTGTGCAAATGTAAAACATAAACTATTAGCACATACTCGCGCACGCGCATGCGCACACACACACAGACACAGACACACAGACACACACACATGCTCATGCACACACTCTTGCTTTGCTCTGAGACAAGTACGATACTGGCTGTCACAAAGCTGAGCACCCACAGACATGTGTGTAGGCCCAGAACACTCTTCTTACACATACCAGGCACCCAGGAAGCTATATCTGCTAGATTTAAGGAAAGCCTCTCCTTACTTCTGTGACCCATTTGCAAAAGCCTCTCTTGCTCTGGTCAGAAAAGCAGTAGTTTTAGCATTAATCAGGAGGGGGGTAATTCACTCTATTTCTAACTGTACACTAGTGAAAAATACTATTTTTGCAAAGGACAAATTCAACACATGGTAGTTTTACAAGCAGTTTATGAAACAGTTCTGCAGCCCTTTCCCCCCCACCCCGGAATAAATAGATGTGGGTAGAAACGGTTGAGATGTATGGATTCTCAAAAGTGGCTTTGTTGATCCCAAATCTACAACATTCACTTAATGAATACTAATTAGGCCCCAGTATATGCCAGACACTGCCACCTCAAAGTGACTCCTAATCGGCAAATGCTGTGATCCAAACAGATTTCTTCATCTAGTTCAAGACCGATATCTCCACTTGGTCCAAGGTACCTGGACCCACCCAAACAAGAGTGACTAACACCTGCTCACAAAATATCATCCCTTGTCTGCTCACAGAAATCTGTCCTTGAGACCTGAAAGTCCACCATTAAAGGAGAACCAGCACACTAGCTGGAGGAACACTTAGGATGTGGAGGCAGACCAATAGGTGAGGACACAATTTCTGTTCCACCACTGTCTTGGCTGAGGAATCCTGGGAAATGTACCTAACCCCTGTGAGCCTAATAGTCATGATCTGGAAAGGGACTGTGGATACAATCATTTTTGGACTTCTGTGAGGAGGTCAAAAAACTCTAGTGAGTCTGCCCAACACTGAGCAAATGTTGGTTGCTGCTGGGAAAGTGTTGGTTTACTTCTCACCCTGTTCTTTTCCTACCATAGCAGGGATGCCCCTGCCATGTACTCAACGGCATAGCAATGATGTAGGCAGAATTCCAAACCGACACAGGAAGTAAGTACCATGTGAACACACATGATGTCATAAAGGATACTCACGACCGTTTCTTCACGGGAGGATCAGTTAATACTGTGGTAGAGACGGAGGGGGATCCCAGGCAGCCTGGGGAAGAGGCACCAGCTGATTTCCGATGCTCCTGGCTTTGATTTTGTCAGAACAACGGTGAGACAGGGATCGTGCTGAGATGCAACCCTTCAGTAAGTGGACATGCATGCACACGCACGTGTGTGTGCGTGGTCTCTCTGGCTTTTTAATCACATGCCCACTCTCCTGTGAGATTCCCAAAACAAGGCTATGCTTGAGATTGCTCCTGTCTGATTCACCTTGATGAGGGAGGCCTCTGGCCCTGTTTAGGCACCCAACTTAGCTGGTCAGTCTGAGGACTGCTGTAGCTGTTAGCTGGCTCACTTTTAACACTTTCCCCTTGACAACGTTATTTCTGAAGTAATGTCAGTTCTCAAAGATGACTCTGACACCCCCATACGCCATATGCTGACCATGAGCTGTTATTTCCTCCTTTCAATGTATGAGTTTTTCCTTTAATATTCATCAAGCTAGATCATCTCCTGGACCATCAAACAAACTTCAGCAAATTTTAAAAGAATTGAAATCACACAGAGCACGTTCTCCAACCATAATGGACCCATGTTAGAAATCAATAATAGAATGAGAAAGGAAGAATCCCTACACACTTGGAAATGGTAGTTGACGTATTATCCCAGTTTGTCATTCAGATCCTTGTTATAGAGGAGCTGAGGTTAGGAAGAGTTGTCCCCTCAGCTGAAAGGCATTTCAGGGTGGGCAAAAAGAAAACTCACTCTGGATATTTCAAACCGAGTATTGTTGACAACAAGGCTGGAGGGAGGGGGACAGCTTAGGAGGCTGTTACATCAGTCCCACCTGACATTAAAAGTTGAAGTACACCAGCAAAGGAAGGACAGCTTGCTGATTGTTAGTGGGATCAGTTTGGTGGCTGATTGAATTTGGGAAGCATGAGAGAGATTGCCACCCTGGTATTGGTGTGGTTTTTAGACAGGCCTGAGAGAAGGTACTATTCAGATGTCTTCCTTGTGTATGGCTGGTTTCCAGGCTAACCCATGGATGCACAGATTCTCTGTTTTTTATAAATCCTGCTTCATTCTTTAAAAGGTTCAATACAGTTTCCTCCTCCTCCTCCTCCTCCTCCTCCTCCTCCTCCTCCTCCCCCAAGATCCTCCCCGATGGTGCCATCTGTCAAATAAGGCTCTCCTATCTGGACAAGCAGAGGAGTTTCCTTTCTGGGGTTTGGGGGATTGGACCCTTAAGGCAGGTTAACACTTTGCTTGCCCTACCATGGTGTTAGCCTAAGATGGGTACATGGTAAGTGGACCACTGATGTGTCTTCAAACTTGTATTTTTGTTCCCCTTTTGAGAATACAATGATGGTGATAGCTCACCTCAAGGAAGAAAGAATGTTTGGAGTTCTCTCCGAGGTAATTTTGGCAGGAGGAATCCTCGTTATGAACGTGGTGGATATGAGCCTCAGCCTTCACACCTCCAGGAGGATGATGGAAGTGTGCTGATGAGAGATGCCTGGGAGGACCCCCAAATAAGACAGTAAGTGACGGGGCAGACTGGCTTGCATGTAGCAGCCCCTGGGACTATGCGACTCTTTCACTCTCCCTGGTCTTCTTTTTCTTCTTTCACTGGAAGCCTGAAGAAAGCCAGAAGTGGAATAATGGTTAAGCGATCCTAATTGTAGTCCTGGTGACCAGAGAGGTGAGGGTGTATAGAAGAAGACTTTCTTAGCATTTATGGCCCTACCTCTGTCTTTCCTCTTCCCCTCCACAGCACTCCCTATAGCACCCGGCATGACAAGAGGAGAGTGAAATGGCAAAATGAAGGCCATATCCATATTACTGTGTGGAGAGATAGAAAAACTCCAAGGAGAGGAGTGGGGGAGAACACACAAGACGGAAACCCAGGGAGCTGGTTCAAGATCACCGTGAGTGTCTTGGCAAGGTCTGCATTAGGTAGAATATCCTGGAACCTTATAAAAAAGGAAGAGCACATTAAACAACCTTACGTCAATTATTTGGAGGAGAGCTTTCCAATGGAGATTTCTCTTCTCCATCGGAGGGTCTAGGAAATCCATATCTGGCATGAAAATAAGAAATAATGCCAGTGGTCCCTTCTTTCAAAGTCCTATGCAGCTCAATAGAAGGTCAGATAAGAACGCTGTTGGGTCTGTTTCTAGCTTTAATTCTATGTTGTCTCTCCTCACTCCCATCCCTTCTTCTCACCTTTAGATTCCCTATGGGAGAAAGTATGACAAGACATGGCTAATTAATTCAATCCAGAGCCATTGCAGTGTCCCCTTCACTCCAGTGGATGTAAGAGAGGATGGTGAAGCCAGATGAGTGGGCACAGGGAAGTGTGGGTGGGGGAAGCCAACTGAGCCAGAAGACTCTATCCTCCAAAATTATTGTTGCCTCCCCCTCCTGCAGTTTCACTACGTGAAAAACCAGGCTCGGTTCTTTGTCCAGGGTGTTGGCACTGCTGCTGCACTGAAGGGTGTCAGCTACAAGATTTATGATGAGGAGAACCGAAAGGTATGTGTTGAGGGCATTACCTCTCCCTAGTCCTGGGGCAGGAAGACAGGGCAGGGGCTGGTCATCTTCTCTGGAATGAAAGTTCTTGGTGTTTACCCCACCTCTCCTTCCTGCAGATATCTATCTTTGTCAATCCCTCCTCTGTACCCTACTCTGTGAGGTATAAGTTGGAGCCAGAAGAAATGGAGCAGCTAAAGGTAATGCAGACTCAAGGCCCATTGCGTGCCCACACCCAGACCCACCTCTTCTTCCTCCAGCCCCTGATTTCCCTATCCCCACCAGAGCCTCCCAGTGGCTCTCTGCATCTCTCTCTGCAGCTGACCATGAGCAAACGCTATGACATCTCCCAGCAAGCTCTTGACCTCCAGAGTCTCCGCTTTGACCCAGGTACACTTGACAGCAGTAATTCTAGGGTAGGTGAGGGCACAGGGATCTTTCTGGGAGGGAGACTGAGGGATGGCGATGTGGGGAGGGTTTGGGCTGGTCCTGGACCGCTCTCAGCCTTCTGATTGCCTCCTCTCGGCTTCCTGAAGACTTGGTGGGCCATGATATAGATATAATCCTGAACCGAAGAAACTGCATGGCTGCCACCCTGCAGATCATAGAAGAAAATTACCCCGAGGTGAGAGCTTAGGCCCAGTGCTGTTATTAATGGTAGGGGGTGGAACACATGGGGTGGAGGACAGAGTTGTCTCTGAGGCCCTAGATAGTAACTGTCACTCTAACTCTTCTTCACCAACAGCTGTTGTCCTTGAACTTGAGCCACAACAAACTGTATGGGCTGGATGGCCTGTCTGACATCATAGAGATGGTCCCCACAGTCAAGATCCTGAATCTCTCCAAAAATGAGGTGAGAAGGGGGAGCCTGATCAAATTTGGGGTTGACAGTGGGTGGTAGTGCTCATCAGAGTAGTGGCAGGAGGCAGGATAAGGTACCTCTGTGGAAAGGTGGGGGCTGGGGGTGTCGGGGCCTGTGTGTGTCCCTTTCCCTGGGACTCTTTTCCTGTTTCTTCCCCGTACTTCTCAGCTGAACGTGGTGTGGGAGATAAACAAGATGAAAGGGCTAGAGCTTGAAGAGCTTTGGCTAGAAGGGAACCCCTTGTGTGACACCTTTCCAGACCAGCCCACCTACATAAGGTCAGTGTGAACCCCTGTCACCCTTCCTGGGGACCTTTGGGCCTGGGAGCCTGAACTGTCCCTGAGAATGCATGTATGCAGGAAGCTGCAGCCCTGGTCCTCGGGAATGACTGTAGGCCCCACCTTCTCCTCTCTCCCTGTCCCTCACCTGTAAGGAGTTTCCTTCCTCTGACCTGCTCACCTGTTCTCCTGGTCTGGGGTCTCTTTCCACCTCTCTGCATTCAGTGTTCTTTAGCATGCCCTCCAAGAGTGTGCTCCAGGAAGCAGGGCTCCTCCTCTTCCCCAGGACCAGGAGTGACCAGCCTTGAGCCAGATGCTGGTGCCCTGGACTGAGAAGGGTCCTCCAGCCTGGGGCCTCATGCCGAGACAGGCTTTCCTACTCCCTGCTAAGATGGGACTTCCCTCCCTTGTTCTGAGAGGGGACCTCCTCTCAGAAGCACTTTCCTCCTCCCTTCCCTCCACACATCACATCATCACAATTGGTCTTTCAGAAAAGCCCTGGGTAGCCCAGCATAGGTACATTTCCTCAGGCCAGGAACCAAAAGAGACAGGCACAGGTGCACAGGGGCCATCAGGAGGGAAGGTGGTGATCAAAAGAGGGGGCCACAGACCCTCAGCTCCATGCTGATCTGGGGCTTGACCCTCTACTCCCTCCAGGGAAGGTCTCCTGCCCCCGTGGCTGCCTCATTTCCCATGCCTGGCTCAGGCTGAGCCCACACAGGTGACAAAATTTCAGCCAGCATGCAATGGGCCCCCAGCCCAACCAATACCTGCAGGTTTTCCATTACTACCTTGGGTGCCAGGGCCAGCCAAGGCAGATGCAGGAAAGGACTGCAGCCAGGGAGCCATTTCCCCCTTCTTCTCTCTTCCTCCTGATCCCCACCACTGTGGTAGAGCCCCTTTCCCTTCCCTTTGTTTTGCATTCTCTTCCTCCTTTGTCTCTGGTTCCCCTATGTCTCTCCCACCTCTCCCTTCCTACCTTTACTCCCTCTTCTGTCTTCATCCCCCTCCCTCCCCCTCCCTGCCTCCTGGGCCTTGCCTCACTCACCTCCCTGCCCCAACATTCTGGGCCATCCCTGGGGGGGGGTATCATGGTCCTGCAGAATGCTATACCCCTAGTGATGTAGCAGAGCACTGGGCTCCCACTCCATTCCCTCTTCTCTCTAGAGTATTCAGTGGGGATTTGGAGGAAGGAAGGGAAGCAGGGAGGGGAAGGCAGCCCTGGAGCCTGGGCTCCACATGTTGCTTCTTGTGGCACTGAAGAAGGGAGTCAGGGCAGTCTAGGTGGAAGCTACCCAGTGGAAAGGAGGGGTGGGGGAAGGGAGAGAAAGGGTAGGAGGGAGGCTTGGCAACCCTGACCTATCAGTCACTTCTTTCTATTTTGGATTTTGGACAGTGCCATCAAGGATTGTTTTCCTAAGTTGTTACGCCTGGTAAGTGACTACACTCATCATTGTCTCTTACTAACATTGATCACCACCACACCTGCTCTCAAGCTCTTTGGGTCTTCTCTAGATTACATGTTTGTGTCAGACCCTTTTCCATTTTAGGGTACCAGGACTCCTAAAAATGACATGAATATGCTCTCTGGAAAAATGTGTGCGTGTGTACACACACACACACACACCAGAAAAAAGTACTTTTCAGACGTCATGTTGAAGACACACACTCTAATCTTGTCCATGTAATTTCCAGTGCGCTTTCATACCTAATCTCTGACCCTCACCCTCTCTTGGGCTCATCTTTTCCCCTGATCATCCAGGGCCACCTCCCTGGTCTCCACTGCTGACTTCT